CTCTAAAGGAGAAGATGTAATGAAAATAACTCTTAACTCTTAAGCCAGGCTACTGCAGTTACTTCTTTCCTCTAGTTTACACATTAGACGAAAGGGAAAAGGTCTGTCAAGCCTGAAACAGGAGTGTAGTTTGTCTGTTATTTCCTTGGAGCTGTGACCATGAAGTTAATAGAAACAGCTAAAATAATTGAGAAGCTGCAAGTTCTGTAAGAAATAATTCATTGCTATTTAGGGTTCTTAATCTTCACTAAGAAAAGACATTCTCACTAAGACATTCTCACTGAAGCCGTATTTCTGTTTTGAAGGCATTTTATTCAGGGTATAGCTCTTTCAAAAGCTTTTTCTTTAATATCTAGTGCATCCAGACTTTTTCTATCGTGCTTGTTTAAGCTTCCTAGTCCCGGCTAAACAAAGGCTTTGGATTCTTCAGCCTCACTTTTCTGGTAGCTAATTGTCACAGAGATAGAAGTACAACTTCATGTAGGTGAATAATTCATGTTCACATACTTTTTTCTTTAATAGGAGGCACCTATTTCTACATGAGTAAGATTCTGCGATTGGTCAAACATACTGCAGCATCTTTTGCATCACTCTTAGTGCATCTATTTCAAATGGTTCTGCTGAGGCTGGGTTATGAACATAAAGGTACCTCTTCAGTTGTCAAGCTTGGTCTTCACTCTGGATTTGTCTTTGTGTAGCTCTCTTCTTACTGCCTTCACCTGTTGCAGTGAACCTTTTGTGCACCTTTATGCATCTTTTTCATAGTCATTCTGCTGGCTACTGTCCTTTCCCTTTTTTTTCTCTTCTCTCCACTCTCTCGATTGTGCTAACCTTTCCACACGTTCCTTCTCTTCCCTCTTTTCCCCTCCACATATTCTCTCTCTACAGAGATTGCCATGTGGATTTTCTCTAGGAAATACCAGAAGGTAATGTTTTAGTTGAGAATCTTAAGTTAGTTTATAAAAACTAGTTTGTGTAACACTGTCAAATCTTAACTTTTCAGTGTCAGAGTGGGATCTTCATTACCCTTATGCCCATTGTGCACATAAAGCTTTACTTAAACTTACCTTGAAAAGTAAAGCTGCAGTCATCCCTGTTCTTAGGCACATCTTACTTACTTGAAAAACTTCATTTTTCCTTTGGTGTTTGCTCTTACTTTCTGTCTACAACAGTTTAACTGTTCTGGTCAAGCTTATGGAGCTTGTGTGTGTGTAAAAAAAACTTCTTCTATGTCTTTTCTTGTTCTGTTTGCCTTGATATCTTACAACTTCCTGATGCTTTCTTGTCAGTCTAAGAACCAACACAGACAGGTGAAACCTGGCCCTACAATGAGAATAGGTGTTTAGGATTTGATGGTTTTATTTTTTAATGAAGTTTTGTTTTTAGTTAACTAATTACTTAGTTTAAAGCACTTAAGCAGATTTTAAAGAGAATGTATTTTCTCTGCTCATTTTCACGTAATGAGCACTTTATTTTTGTTCTGAATTAAAGATTAATTTTCCAATTATCCATAGGGATGGACCTTACACTTGAAAAAATTTTCTCTTAACTTTCAGGCAAGATCTTATCAAAATCTCCATCCATTTCCATTTTGGAATTTTTCCAAAATTTCCAATCCAAAGATGGTATGGACTAGTGTAAAATTTAGGATATGATAAACCAAAAGAGTTAAATAATGGTCTCTTTTTAGGCATGTAAGAGCCATGTATCATATGCAAAGCTCTGGCATTTCTGCAAAACCAGAAAACTGAACTAGAGGAGTTATTGAGGAGTGGAGAGCAGGATTCTGAGCTGTAAGGCTTTGTCATCTTTAAATAAGAAAGTGTGATTGGACAGAAGAGGCTTCTTTCAGAACCATTTTTTCAGGCTTCTTGCATTTCACTTAAATGTTCTTAAAATAGTAGTTAAAATATGGGTATCTGAAAGATTTTGAACTTGAGAGAAACATACCTGTGTGTACATCTATATATTTTTTGATGTGTTGCAGCTCACTCGGATTACTGTGGAAGCATGAATGTAAAGGAGTTTTTTAGAGACAATAGCCGTCTTAGTGTAAATGAGGAATCAATATGTAAGTATAGCAATTGCTGTTGTCGTTTAGTCTTGGCTGGAGTCTTGGATGTTGCAGTATTGCCAGAATAATGTCAGATGCTCCATGAGTCTATGGAAGCTATAAAGTACCCACCTGTTTTCTAACTTCAGATGTAGGGGAGGGAAAATGCACTTACCTGGTATATTGTAGTATTGTCCTAAATGAGTATTGTTCCATTTAAATTTGCTTAATGGGTCTCGGTTTAATATGTAATAATGTGAAATAGACCTATTCAAATTTATCTTGTAACACTTTATTTGATACTGACTGTGTCACATTAATTGACTGTTACCACAACCAACAGGTGATGACTGTAAGGGGAAGAAACATCTTGAAACATACACCACAGACCACATGCAATCCTCATGGGCTAAAAGGGTAGCAAGGACCATTTGGCACACCTTTTCTTATGCAGGTTGACTTGGACCTTTTTTCATTTGCTTTTATTTTACTTCACAGTCTCATTTATGTTAATAACTTGTATTGGTTTGCATTTTTTCTTTTTTTCTTAACTGCATCTATCAAAGCAGATTAAACTGAAATATCTAGAGAACTAAATTTACACAATATTTTTTTTCCTGTTTGACTCTTGCTGTGATATTGACTTTATACAAGCTTGGTAGGTAGTGAGACTACTTACCTATTAGTAAGTGTGAGAATAGCAGACACCTGGGAAGTGTGTTGGGAAGAAGGAGTCAAATTGTAGAATATAATTCAGGTTTGTACTTTGTTGCACTTCAGGAAAGTCTGTACCCTTCATAGGGTGGAAAAACTGGCTTTTAAAGAAAAGCAAGTTATGAAGGTATTGATATACAGTTTATCTTAATAAAGGGTTTTTAATACTTTATTTTTGTTTTAGTGATAGCTGACTTTTACAGGAATCTTATATAGTGATAGACTCTTCCCTGTGAGATGAGCCTTCCCTAGCTTGAATGACAGAGGCATCAAGAATCTGTTGAATGCTCTTTATTCAGCAAAGGAAAATGATTTGAGACACTTCAGTCACCTAAATGCTTTGCAAAATATTGGGTTGGTATATCTCTAATCCCCCAGATTAACTGAGATATCTCTGCTAATCTAAAAAATGTAGGATTACTTCCTAGGTGTATGCTACTTAGTTTAGAATAAAGTCTAATCTAGTCTGATGTAGTCTAGAATTCAGTAACTGTTGGCTTTGGTGGGCTTTAGATTATAGCATTTTTAAGAGTCTCCAAACTGGCATCCTGAAGTTCCTTGGAACATTCACTTTTCATTAAAACTTATTTTGCTGCTTGGAACTCATTTTCTATAGGTGGTAGTGTTTGGTGTTCCTTGTTAGTGTTTCTTACTGATTTAATTCTTTGATTAGGGTTTGAAACTTTAATAGCACTTTTTTTTTTTTTTTTTTTTTTGTCTCTTCCCTTCTCACATGAATCACTGGTGATTCTCACACATCACTGGTGTATAACTAAAAGCAAATAAAATACTTTTAAAATAATATGCTTTAAACATATTTTTATTGCTTTTTAATATTATCTCTTATAATTAGTATTCTTAACTATATAAGTCTACAAAATATAAATCTTATGTATTTTGGAAACGTGACATTCTAAGTGTGCAAGCGCTATTCTGTTTTTATGTATAAAGATTTTTTTCACTTTTTTGGTTATACTTGAATTCCTATTTTTATATATATAAATATTGAAGATCCAAATTTATAGTTTACTGATGGGTATGGTAACAGGTTTGTGCAGAACATGTAACTGGGACTTGAATCTCAGTTTTACTACATGTGCTGGAAAAAAAAATCATCTGCTTTATGTATGTTACCACATACAGTTTATTTGTTATAATCTAGGTTACTTTATGGTTCACGTGTTGCGAACAGTGGGAGCAACCGGCTGGCTTGTGTCTCAGAAGGTGTTGTCTCTACTTTGGCTGCCCATTTTTTCCTCAGGTTACTATCCTGATCTGTGTGCGTGCATGTTGCCTGTTTCTTTTGACAAACTAGGAGCCTGCAATAAGTGGCTTACACTAATTCAACTGTGCTCTTGCTATTGCTTTTACTCCTTGAAATGCACATGCTAAGACTTTATTGACTGAAAGATGCTTAATGTGAGGATATGTTTCTGTTCGCAGGCATAAATGGGAAACGTGAGGGAATTAATATATGGCTAGCCCAGAAAATGAGTCCCCAAGACCAGTGGGGTGTATTTGGTTTGGTAGTAATTTCCTATCAGGATATTCCTCATAGCAAAACCTGGTGCTAATTTTTGCAGTTACTGAAATACATTGAAGCCCTCAGCAGAGGGCTTGAACTCAAACATTACGGCAATTTCATGCAAGATAACCCTGTTGTAACAAATGAGCATTTCATCTTTTTGCATGGCTGTTGTCTGTGTTGAGTAGCTGATGCTACAATGCTGTCATACTTGTGATACAAATCTAGATGTTAAGCTGCATGTGTTACCTGTACTCATCCATTTCTCTGCTGTGCAAAGTGGTCTTGGCCACAGTTGCATGTCCCTTTGCTTCGTTTCCTCTGACATGGGCTTCAGTGATTACATTCCATGTTACCCCTTTTTATCTTGTAGGGAGGGCAGCCTCTGGTGTATTCAGGTGGCTTAGAAATGGATGGTATCAGCTTGTTACTCTGATGTCTTTGCTCAGTACTTTTCTTCTTAGAAGGTATGTTTCCTTAAAAAAGGGTTTTCTCTATGCAAATTCTTTACCCAATTATAAAAGAAAAAAATGACAAATATGTTTTTACTTAATGTAAGCTTTCTCTATCTCTTTCTCTAGATGCCTTCCAAATATTTTCAAGCTACTACTGTTTCTCATCCCACTGCTGTTTTTACTAGGTATGTGAATTGTTCAGCTGATTAATGCAAGTTGACGTGTGCTTACTACTGTTGTGTCCAAATAGCATTTTCGATTGAGCTTACAGAGAAGACAAAGCACATACGGCCTAATTTCAGTTTGTCGATAGTCAAGCACCCTTCTCACCCCCCACATCCCTTCCTTGAATTTCAGTGAGCTCAGAGTAGGCTATGGACGTCAGTCTCCATAAAAATACAGTTGTTAAATTCCTTTAACAACATGTTCTAATTAATTCTTTTGCTCTAAACAGTGTTTTTAGTTTCTTGACACATTACAAAGCTTAAACTGGTTAGCTGGCAATATTCCAGGCCAGTTGCCACTTTTGAAATAAATAAGAATTTGGGCCACATCTGAAGAGCAATTTTATGTTTTCCCATGTCAGAAAGATCTTATAGTTTCTTTGTAGGAAAGCTGAAACTTCTCAGGAAGCTTGAGTCCCTTGCAGTAGGGACTCAAAATTCTTTGTACTAGGACAATAGATGAGGAGAAAAATTACCCAATATAAAAAATAGTACTCACTAAGGTAATGCAAAAATAAATGCAATCTTTGTCAAGTGCTTGTTGCCATGGAAACATAAATTTCTTCCAGTTTTTACTAGATAATGATGCAACATGATACAGTAAACAGGATATAAAGCAAGATATTTTCTATTCAGATAAACAAAATATTTTTATCTTTCTAATATTTCTTTATTCAGTGAGCATGGCCTGTCTTATTGGATAAGTAAAATCTAGGTCCCAGGGAAGCAGTAGCATGTCATTAAAGATATATGATGTATAAACAGAAGTTACCGGACTCGAAGCTGTGTGTCATTGGTTGCTTTTTATTAACTGTCTTGAGTGCTTGACCTAACAAATTTTAAAGCCTTCTGAAGTAGCTCATATCACTAACTTGTACTTAGGGGGAATATTGTCCACTGTGTGCTTTGTAAAGACAAGGTAGCCTGTCTCCCTGAGTAAAGGCTTCTGCTTGTAGATGGAAGCAGTTCTCAGATTTCTCCTCAATGTCCTTTTTGCTTTTGTTTCTGCTCACAAAAGGTATGTGGTCCTGGGGGTTCAATAGCTTCATTGCGTTATTACCTTCGTGGAACTGGACAGATCACAGAGTGCAGAGAATACATGACTCTACTCTCAAACCACAACCAGATTCTTCTCATTCTGTGCAGCCTCCAAAGGTAAGGGAGAACCTTTCTATATTTTAGGACCATTTTAACTCCTGTGTCTTAAATATTTCACAATAACTGCTGTTACTAAGAGTGATGCAAACAAATGGCTTGGTTTTATACATTAAAATCTTCATGCTTCAGGGTACCATAAATATCTTTGATACTGGTCGTATAACTGAGCTGGAAAAGCGAATGGCCTTCGTGACTGACAGATGTCATCACTATGATGAAGAACATAGCAAAATGATGCTTCTACTCCAAAAGCTTCAAGATCAAGTTGCCCAGATGAGTGACAGAAGTGAAGTATTAACACTAATAAAAAATGTGATAAGTCAGCATCTCAAAGACATGAAAGAGGAAGAAAAGGTAAAGCTAAATCAGTCATTGATGCTTTCTGAAACCTATCAGAGCACTCTGATAATGCAGTTTATTAGTGATCTGGCTTCTGGATTTTATTTTCTGGTATAGAATTAATTGATAGTTAGTAAATGCCAGTGAGTAAAATCACTGTTTTTGTTCCTCCTCTATTACTGTTGACATAATTTTTAATTCCAGATAGATGGTCTAAAATAGTCTCACATCACTGAAAGCAGTTGCATACAGAGAAAAAAGATTATAGGAAAGATTGCTAAGAAAGAAGAGGGTTGTGGTGTATAACCCCCACTCTACTACAGAGTCACACTTTTTAAATTGCAGATGCTGTAATTTCTCACACAGTCCACAGAATATTAGGCACTTTTGAGAGTTATGAACAAAAAATTGAAAGAAAAACCTTACTGAGAAAAAGAGAAGAGGAAAAAAAAAAAAAAGCTGTTACATTCAGAAAGCACAATTCCTTTGTCTTCTTTTTAAGACCAGCTTTCTGGCTTTACATCAAGAACATGAGATGCGTATCACAACACTTGGAGATCTCCTTGGAAAACTCTCTGCTACATCTGAGGTACTGGGAGTTAGATATGCTAACTACTTACAGCTGTAACTTTTATTTTTGTGAGAGTTTTAAGCTGTATATTTGCTTCATGCTAATAATTGCATTTTTTTCCATCACAGTCTGTGTTCTTGTTAGCCTTTCTTCCTGCTTAAAGGGATGGGAATTTTGCTGCTGTCTTTCTGCCCCTGGGACTTAGTTATTCACTGTACAGTGAGACAGAACTGAGAATATTATACTTTCTGTAATTTAGGGACATAAACATAAGTGGTGCTAAAATGCATCATCTTTAATGAGATACTTTATTGTCCTCCTTCTGCTATATATGTTATCCTTTGTATGTTAAAACAAACTCTTGTATTTTTAGGACATCCAGAAGGAACTTGACATGGCCAAAGCAAAAACGATGCGGTATGAATACTCCTCAAATATACTTTGGTCTTTCAATCTGGACACTAACTGAAGATGATAGAAGTTATTCTGTGAAATACAACTAACCCTTTCTTGTTTTTTATCTGACTGCCCCTGTGTAATGTTTATTAGAGATGAGAATTGTTCCTCAGTTTGCTTAATGAATTATATAATACCTACTTTTTGATAGGCTTTGTATTTATCTTCTTGAGCTTTTATCAAGACAAATCTTTGTCCATGGTCTTGGCTTGTCAGTTGTGCTATAGTCTACTTATGTAATGTGTAATGCAAGGAGAAAAACCTGTAACACTTCATTGAATAGATTTCCCTTTGAGATTAGGGGGAAAAAAAAAGACTATTACTTAGTGAATTCTTATTTAAATTAATAATGACTTTAGGATGATGTCTCCCTTGCCCTGCACATACACACCCCTACTGAGCATTCGCAGCGTTTCTTGGTTAATAACTGAACTAAGGCTTTGTTAGACAACTGTCTTATTCCTTTGGATTTTGATGGAATGACTGAAACTGCTCTTTTTTTTTTCTCTCTAATTATTGACTCTTTGTTTTTGTCAGAGATGGAGAGGAACATAATCACCTCTTATCCAAAGTTAAAAAGCTAGAGCTAGAGTTGTCTCAGATGAAATCAGAGCTGTTAAATTGGCAAAGTGTGAAGACTAGCTGCGACAAAATAGATGTCATTCATGAAAAAGTAAGTTCAGAAACTGTCCCAGTAAAACCTGGTACTACTTAGTTTTGCTCAACTTTCCTGAAAGGTATATATACTCAAAATATTTTGTGTTTGTGCAAGATTCACTTACTGATTGGGTAGGGAATCAAAGCGTATCCATAAGCAAGTGGTTAATGACTTTAACTCTGCTGAACTAGTAAACTGCTGTCCTTAAAGTTGTCATAGTGCCTCCCTTGAACTGTTGCTGTCAACTTTAATTCCTATTCTGAAGCATTATTGAGGCCCCAAATGTAAACTGTGTATTTTGCTCTGCGTTTTTTTGCTTTTGTTTGGTCTGATGGACAAAACATAAAGGAAGAATTCAGTTTTTTCTGTTTTTCTGTACCTCTTATTCCAGCCTAAGTCAATGTAGGTTAGATCTGTTGATAGTGCTTGAAGTCCATGTTGATTTCATGTTATACATATGGTACTACTTAGTAGCTTAGAAAGACTAATTTCTATTGCAATTGTTAATGGCTCTTCTAGGTAGATGCCCAAGTGAAAGAATCCATCAAGCTGATGGTTTTTGGTGATCGACAAGAAGACTTTCCCGAATCGCTTCTTCAATGGCTTGCATCCAATTTTGTGAGCAAAAGTGATTTGCAGACTCTGCTGCAAGATCTAGAGTTGCAGATCCTCAAGAATATTACTCTTTATATGTCATCTACAAACCAAAAACTAACATCTGAAGTAGTAACAAATGCTGTGAATAACGCAGGGGTTTCTGGAATCACGGAAGCGGTAAGTTAGTCTGAGACTTAAAAAAAAAAAAAAAAAAAAAAAAATCAGCTAAAATTGTAAAAAAATAAAAAAAAAAAAAAAATTGGAGCTTGACATTTTATGGAGCTTGACCATTAATACAGATTTAATGCTTTTAAAACCTACCTAAGAGACTAAAGGAAATGGGGAACAGCTTGCAGAAAACACTTTTTTCAAACATCCTTACGGTCACAGCTTTTTTGTCTGCTGTGAACATGCTTTTTTCCCCCAGTATGTTGTCTTAAAAGCTGAAGACTTCCCCAAATGTGACCGAACCCAAAATTGCAGCTGCATCACTTGGGAAGGTGGGGAAAAGTATGCAGCTCTTGAAGAAAACATCAACTGAGATGCAGTTCGAGTTTGTTTTAAACCAGACAGTCATGTATTAAAAATGGCTTGTGGCTTAACAGAGACTTTCAACCATGTATTCAAGTACAACATCTCAAAAAGATGCATGAAACTTTATAGATCTGTATGTATCAATTTTCTATCAGTTAGTGTTACTAAAATCTTTCTCTTCCCATTCTGTTCCCTTCTGTGTGTATGTCTGTAGCAAGCACACGTTATTGTAAACAATGCCCTGAAGCTCTATTCTCAAGATAAGACTGGCATGGTGGATTTCGCCCTAGAATCTGGAGGTAAACGGCAGAGGAAGTGGTTATCAGATAAATAGCACACGTTGAATCTACTAAAAAATCTAAAAGCAAAAAATCTAAAAGTTACAACATTGTCCTGCGTGCTGCCCAGTGCTTAGACTACTACAATCTGTGCCTGTTATTAATAGGGTGATATACTCGCCACAAACTCTATAGTAGATGATAAAAGCTAAAAATATACAAAATTAAATATACATGAAAAACAGATGAATGTTTTCTTAAAACACCATAGTGTTGGATAGTCTTTCCTTAAAGTTTTACTTTTGATAGAACTATTTGATCATAGTAATAATGCACTTGATTTAATTGTTAGATTTTAATAATTTTAATACATCTTTGAGGAAAATAATGGGACATAATTGATATAGTTGTTAAGATTGTTACAAATCTTTGCTTTCTTTGGGAAGGAACAAGTAACTATTTCTGCTAACCCAATTTATCTTTTTTTGAGGTGGCAGCATTCTGAGTACTCGCTGCTCTGAAACGTATGAGACCAAAACAGCATTAATTAGCCTCTTTGGGATTCCTCTGTGGTACTTCTCCCAGTCTCCCAGAGTGGTGATTCAGGTAATGAAAGGATAAATAAACTCTGCAGCACTACATATTAAGTGACTCGGGTTGTCTCTTGGATGCTGGTTGGTTGTCTGTGATCCTGGGGGTTGAACTTTGCTCTTGTGAATGGGGTTCTTCCAGTATATCTGGGTTATTGGTTAGTTATCCTTGAGCCTGCTGTGAAGGTCCTAATTTTGCATGGGGCTTGTACAAAGTGTGGGCACTGAGAGGATTCCTGCTGGGAAATAATCTCAAGGTGGCTCTTCAAAACATGACTAGTAGCTTGGGAAGATGTGCTACCTTCCCGAAAAGAGCGCAGCTGAAATTGTGCAGTCCATATTTTTCTGTACTGAACAACCAAGAAGATGCATAATGCAGTGAGCACAGAGAGATTTCATCTCATTCTCTGTTTGGCCATTGTTTTGGAGGGTGAACTGTGATTTGGATCAAAGCTGTTGTGAACTTTATGTTGTATTTTACCAAACAGATGAGATTGCCGTGTACTGTGTCTCTTTACAGCTATTCCTAATAGTTCAGAATTCATTATGACCCTTAAAAAAAGGAAATACTTAATTTTTTTCTTTCTCTTAAACTGTTTTCTAGCCGGACATGTATCCAGGAAACTGCTGGGCTTTCAAAGGATCCCAGGGTTATCTTGTAGTTAGACTTTCAATGAAGATCTACCCAACTGCCTTTACTTTGGAACATATACCCAAAGCCCTTTCGCCAACAGGGAGTATCACCAGTGCTCCTAAGAACTTTTCAGTATATGTAAGTCTGACTTTGAACTTCTTAAAATTTGTAAATGTAAAGAATACTTGTGTTTTCTGTCTTGGAAAATGAGCTCAAGGGAGGAATAGCAAAGAAGAGAACTGCCGTTTCTGTTGTTGCATTTAGATTTGCTTATATTCTTGAAGAGCTTCCAAATCTAGGAATTCAAAGCAGTAAAACTCATTCTGGTGTTTGTTTTGCCTTGCTTTTTACAGGAGAAGAATATTTGAGAGGAGAAGATACTGTCTTTTTGGCTAACATCAAATTTTAAACAACTCAATAAGTTTCTCCAGTATGCCTTATTGTGCCCTACCATTTCTCTCCTGTCTGGGCACACACACATTTTAGCTTTTCAACTTATTTGTGGTGCCTTTTTTTTAATATTTCTTAACTTTCTATTTTTGTAGACACTGTTGCATAACAGAAGTCTATAAGCTACTTTTGTTAGTTATGATGCCTGAAAAGCTTTGCTTGTCCGGCTCTTACTTATTAAATAACAGCCACTGCAAACGTATAGTTCCTAACTTCCCTTTTATTTATAGCCTTGATGTTTCTCATTCTTGTCCATCTTGAACCTTTATATTGTCCACAGTGATACTGGTTTTGTTAAGGCTTCTGAATGCTGCTTGTCGATATTCAGGTATATAGACATGTATCTGGTGCATAACAGAAGTCTGGAGGGATCAAATTTGGAGGGATCAAAACTCTTTGCCCTTCTCTTGTAGGGTCTAGAGGATGAATATCAAGAAGAAGGTGTGTTGCTTGGACACTACTTTTATGATCAAGGAGGAGAGCCATTGCAGATGTTTCCAGTAAAGGTAAGTCTGAATGCCAGCGTTTATGGTGTCAGGAGATGTTATTTTCTGTGGTAGTACATAATAACAGACGAATAAAAAGATCCTGTTCTCTTTGGGCCCTATACTTTGCATTTCTATTTGTTATCTGCCTTAAACCCTGTGATTTAAATAGACTAATTAGGTGGGAGAAAGAGGGTCTGCTACTGGCTCACAAGTGGTTTGGAGACACTAAATGCAGAAAGAGTCCACTCCATGCTGCTCTCTCTGTCTTCCTTCACAAATAAGGAATTGAAAGCTGTATTCAAAATGTCATAAGCTTCCCAAGATACAATCTAGATATTGCTAAAAGTTAAAATTGGCAAGAATCTGTAAAGCGACTTCAGTTGTGCACGTATCTCTTAGAAGTCTGACTCTGGTTTGTGTTTGCTTTTTCCTTCTTCTCTAGGAGAAAAATGAGAACGTATTCCAAATAGTGGAACTGAGAATTGTTTCTAACTGGGGACATGCAGAGTATACGTGTCTTTATCGGTTCAGAGTGCATGGGAAACCAGCCGAATAGTCTTCTACACTACACAGCTTTTTTTCCTCTCCTCGTTGTACATTTTATTTTCAATTTGTATATACCGGGAAACCTAGAACACTGGAATCTGTAAAGGATGAGGATGTGAGATGTAAACTACCGAATTACTGATCCTCTGGTAAAGGCAGAAGACTGTCAGCAGAACTGTATTAACAAAACTTTTATTTGCTCTGGTGCTCGGCTTGTAACTGCCAATTAGCTTCATATTTTTGTGTCCATGCTGAGAAAAATATTGCATGCAAACTACTCTGGTTCATAAAGCTCAGTTAGCAAACAGGTGTCACCTATTTTATTATAAATGAATGTATAGGCTTTCTAAAAGAATAAACCACACTTTCTGCAACTAGGAATCTGTTTTTTTCTTAATCCAGCATTCAACTGCGTACTTCTGTTTGACACCATAAGCCAAAAACTGTGGTACACTTTTAAACGCCGACTGTATCTAGAGGTGCGCTGCAGATGACTCATCTTTGACCTTTTTGGTGGATCATAAAGGGCTTATTAAATAAGTGTTTAATATTATAAATATTACTGTCAGGGATAGTTAATGCAACCAAAACTAATTTAAACACCAGCAAATGAGAATGCTTTACTGTAACTTGTGGCCATGAGTCGATCTAAAAGTCAGGGATAATTTTAACTGAAATGATTTTAAGTTTTTACCATAGCAAATTCAGTCA